TATCTGTACATTGTTGATTCATCACTGATGCTTTGCTCTGAGGCACATTTGTTTGCAATTTGGGGCCAGGTTAACATAGATAGTGCATGTTGCAATGATTTTTTCTCTTTAGTTGATCTTCGACAGCTCATTATGACCGAAATTTATTAGAGTGAAGTTCATAGATCACACCTTATTAATATTTTGCACATCAGCTGCATATGAGCTGTCGAATTGATGTTGAGTTGGCTTTAATGTCATGATACCTTATTCTTATCCTCCAATTGATGTTGAGTTGGCTTAGGAGGGGGAATGATTATTCCCTTATTCTCTTGCTTGTGATTAGGAAGTGGTGTTTTTGATTCCATCTATTATTTTTCTCTTCCCCAATCTTAGTTTGACAGTGAGGAGAATTACATTTTAGAAATCCCCTTTTTTGGTTTGGTGTCTGGATCTGCTTTCAAAATTTTGGAGAGTGCATCTGAAGCTGCTCTTTCTAATGTGGTATTTTTTCCAGCATTCTAGTTCTTACTTTTTTGCGAGCTTGTTGGTTAATAAATCTGTTGAAGCACACAAGAAATTGTGTAATAACAAATTGCTATTGAAAATATCACTATTTACTTTGTATTTTAACTCAAAAGTTGATATGAACCTCCCTATAGAAATGAACAAGAAGTTGGGAAAGACAAGTTAACTAGGCTGTTCTAGCCTTCCCAAGCTCCAAGATGAAGAGGGGAAAAATCAGTGACAGAAATCAGTAATATTCCAGTTATTAGATGTTTGTTTCCAATATCATAATAAACACACTTGTTTCCAATAATGTTTGAAGCTCATCTATTAGAGGTTATGAGTAGACATCAATTTTTTTCTTGGGGATGGCATATATTGTTAGTATGGAAGTATTATAAAAGAAAAAAGCCATATCAAAATGTTTGCAAAGTTATGCCAAAAGATTTACTCAATATAAATCACACTACGTGCAACACTCTAATTGGAATGAAGAAAATAAAGTGTTTGAAAAGCAGACTGCGAGTAGGTGGCATAAGGCCACTCATATTGATGATTTGGGTTGTACATAATTTGAATTGAGCCTAGCATTTACTGTTCAATATTGTTCTTCAATCTGTTTTCAAGCTTGAGCTGAGCTTACGCATGACATGTGTTTTACTTTATAGTATATTTATTAGTAACACTACATTTTGATTAAAGCATTATCTGAGTATATTGCAAATTTGTAATGCTCAACATTCTCAGTGTTGTTGAGAACTCTGGATGGTTGTGCAACTTTTCTGTATAAGCTTTTATGTGACATTCAATAAAATCATAGAATTTTTATGCTTCATTAATCAATATTTGATCATCTTCATGAACTCTCTCAACAAAGTGGGCTTTGCTTGCATCAAAACTCATATATGTTAAGATTGTTTTCCGTTGGAGGGATAGAACTTAATGATACACTAACATGATCATATTGAACATTTGATTTATGCTCACCATGTGCAGTCCAATACCAATAGTTAGGTTGGAAACCATACGATACAAATCTAACTTGACTTTATCAGGTGTTAGATATACTGATTTTTGTTCT